ATATATATATATATATATATATTGACCGGACATAATATAGCCCGCGTACCAAAGTGTTTAATTGGTCTTGCGAATTGAGTCGGCCCTGTCGATACTCTGGAGTACCATGCAATACTTAGTTGGTGTGGAACTGTGGAAGCCATGGTTTTGTAAATTTTTGTGTGTGTATTTGTGTGTGAGAGAGAGAGTCAAGAGAGTACCTCTTGGAGAGCCTGTCCTTGAATGGGAAACGGTAGATAACGTTCCAACGAACAGATTGAGTGACGATCCAGTACAACCCGAACCACAGTTCGGCCATGAACATGCCAATCCAAGCCCACCGTCCAGCTTCTTCTGCTGTTGGGATGTTTGTTAACCTGTACACCCATATCAAACATATACCTGTTAATATTGTGGACGATAAGATCCTATATGCAACTCTACCCCTTGCTTCTTTTGTCTCGAATAAAGGAAGAACCTCTTCTTCCCCTCCACCGTGACTGCCCATCTCTCTCTCTCTCTCTCTCTCTCTCTCTCTCTCGCACACACTCACTCACTCTCTCACACAAAAACACAGAGTGAGATTTCATGCATGACAAAGTTTCCCTTTTTATATTGGGTACCCATATATAATAATATAAATATATATAATTATTTATTTATCTTGTCATCTCTTCTTAGGGTAGTGGATCACATATATTGTTGAAAATATTTACGATAAAGACTTTCTTGTGATGATAAGATCCGGAATCTAAAAATCTAATAATTATATCTGATTTAATACATTTTATTTGATTTAATACGACTTCACACATTTATTAATAGAATATGAAATAGATCAACAATTTCACCACCCCCAATGAAAATGTTGGATTTGGGATAAGCTTGCATGTGAGACCAGACGCTGAATTGGTCAAACAATGGACACAAATTATAACATTATTCACAACGTTGTGAGAAGTTTAAATTTAGTCTTCAAAACTAATATACACACATCTCTATGTATATACAATAGTGGTTGCGCAATAGAATGGTTGTTGAAATTTTGAAATGGCTATTTGATTGTTGCTTTAATGAGTATATAACGTGGAACGAATAATTTTAAAGATTAACTCAACTAAAATAAATAACTAAAAGACAAACAAAAAATAATACTCTACTAATAATTGAATAAAGACAGACTAGCATCAATTACAAAGGTCATTGTTGCAATCTTTTTATTGAATTTATGTCCCCATTTCTGATTTTTCTTTCATCACCTAGATCTCTCAAATGATGCCACTAGTTTCTAAAAAATTTGCAGAGTGTCAAATGTTTTTGTCCTTTCAGGATGTCAGCACACGTCATTTCATTCATCAATTGATAATCACAATTTTTCAAAAAAGACTAATTAATAATTGCCTAAAAAGAAGGAAGAGAAAAATGGTTTTGGCAACAAACATGTGAAATTAGAATGCGATTTTGAATTTAAGTTTTATGTTTTCATCATAAGAAAGAAAAAAAATTTAATAGATGAGAAAAAAATAGATGAATGAGACAATTTTAGATAATAGATTATGTAAATATTGTGGACAATTAATAAGATCCTATATAAAACTCTACCCTTTGCTTCCTTTGTCTCGAATAAAGGAAGAACCTCCTCTTTCCCTCTACCACCACCACTGCCCATCTCTCTCTCTCTCTCTCTCTCTCACACACGCACTCACTCACACACAAACACACACTGATATTTCTTGCAAGACAAAGTTTCTTTTTTTATATTGGATACTTTGAAATTTTTTTTTATACTGGATACTTTGAATTTTTAAATGTATACATATATAATAATAAATATGTGTGTATATATATATATATAATTATGTATTTATCTTATCATCTCTTCTTAGTTCTCAGTCACCACATATATTTTATTATTTTGTTACTTACTGCATGTCCTTTAATAAACTGTCTCTGCTTAATTTCTTTCTACTATAAAATATTGGGTGAAGTGCAAAAAACGTCCGAACTATCAGCTAATTGCAAAAAACTCTCCTGATCTAACAAATGCCCCCTGAACTATTGTGATTGTGTCACTTGTGCAATAGAACGGTCGTTGAAAATTTGAAATGGCTGTTTGTTTGTTGCTTTGATGATTATGTAACGTGGAACAAATAATTTTAAAGATTAATTCAACTAAAACAAATAACTAAAAAGACAAACAAAAAATAATACTCTACTAATAATTGAATAAAGACAGATTAGCATCAATTACAAAGGTGGATTGTGCAATCTAAATGAAACATAACAAAATTGGACTCCTTTGAATATAAAATTAAATTATTTGGACGTCAATTCTTTTATCTTTTTATTCAATTTATGTTTCCACTTCTGATTTTTCTTTTCATCACCCTAGATCTCTCAAATAATGCCACTAGTTTCTAAAAAAATTTGCAGAGTTATGTCACATGTTTTTGTTCTTTATTGATATCAACACACATCATTTCATTCATCAATTGATAATCACAATTTTTCAAAAAAGATTAACCAATAATTGCTGGTTTTTAGGAGATATGTTATGACCACTTAAAAGTTGCTAATGTTGAAAATATTCACAAACAAATAAAAGAGGGTCAAGATAAGAAATTTAAAAATCGAACAACTGTGTCTGATATAATGTGAGGTACGGAGTGTACCACATTTTGTTTTGGTTGTTCTGATTATAATGGAGTTTTTGGGCGTCAACAATTTCACCACCTCCAATGTAAATGTTGGATTTGAGATAATATTAAGTTTGCATGCGAGACCCGACACTGAGTTGGTCAAACAATGTACACAAATTACCACTAAAATTTGGTCTAGAAAACTAATATACACCTCTCTAGTTTATAATTATATATAATAAGGAAATTATTTTTGAACAGAGTAATTCCAGTGAATTGTTATATTTATTTTTTAATTGATTAAATATATAATAAATAAGAAAGTAAAATTTTCTATTTAATTATATTTGATATAAATAAATAATTAAAAATTATTTAATTAAACAATTTATAAATATTCGATATAAGAATCACTGCTTATATAATAATAGTGCTTGTGCAATAGAATGGTTGGTGAAATGGTTTTTTTGTTGCTTTAATGATTATATAACGTGGAACAATAGCTTGGTTAAAGAAACAAAAAATAATACTAATAATTCAATAAAGACAAACTAGCATCTGTTGTGCAATATGGGTTAAACGTAACAAAATTGACTACCTTTACGTATATACTATATAAAATTAAATCATTTGGAGGTCAGTGGCGTTATCTTTTTATTTAATCTATTTGTCCATTTCTGATTTTTCTTCTATCACCTAGATCTCTGAAATACTGTCACTATTTTTAAATTTTTTTTTTTTTTGCAGAGTTGTTATGTCACATAATTTTGTTCGATCACTAATTTTTTTAATTTTTTTATTTTATTATTATTTTTTTTTATGATGATAGCGAAACGTTCCATTCATCACTTGATAATCACAATTTTCCCTAAAAGACTAACCAATAATTGTCTGAGAAGAAGGAAGAGAAAAATGATTTTGGCAACAATGTGTAAAATTAATTCCCGTAAGTGGGTCAGAATAAATTATTACGTATTTTATATATGTTTATGAAAATGTTAATTGGATTTCGAAGATAAATAGTGGATTAAATAAACTCATTTTATTGGTTGTGATGTCAATAGTTATACCATAATTATATTGTCTAGATTGATTAGTACTAGGATTTATCTGTACATTTATAAACTTTTTGTAACAATATTTATTCATTTTGAACTTTATATATGATGTGCTGTTTTATCATCATTAATAGCTTGGAAGGTAACGATTGAACTCCAAATGAAACAATATAGCGTGTGAGAGAGTATGTGAATATGTTGCTAATTGGTGGTTATTTGAAAGTTATAAAAAGTCACCAAATTTTTTAGTGGAAGGACATTGGAAAGGGAAAAAATCAACCTCACTGTCTAATTATCATCAACTCTATTTCAATCAATTTATTTATTTTTTCTTTCTTTCTCTGAAAGTAATTATTTAATTTAGAAAAATAAAAGTTAAATTTAAAAATAGAAAGCCAGTCAATTACTTTATCTTTGGTATTATTATTATTATTATTATTTTTAAGTTAAAGTAATTCCGAACACACCCCTACCTCTACTGAGATTTGAATCCCCGACTTTTCTTTTGAAGAGTACGGGGTGAAACCACTGGACCATTTGAACCTTTGGTTATCTTTGACATCATAACAACCCAGATAAGTTGCCATTATTTATTTAAAGATATTTGGATATGGGTTGTGGATGTTTTTAAAATTGAGGCAAAATCTAGGATCATATTATGTTGGCCTAAATGAATTCCTTACGAAACAGAGATGTTCTTTGTTTGTTAGTCTATGTGGCTAACGGGCTTTGGATCCAAGATGACATAGGCCTGTTCAACAAAGATTTTATCTTTGTTTTTATACAAAAGAAAAAGAGAAGTAGAAACTATCATTTTTATTTAGCTTATATAATAATGTTTAGAAACTGTATTTTAAAAGAGCATTTCATATTAGAAGAGTTTTTCTGTTTATTTGGCAAAACGTTTGCTAAAACTCTTTTACTACTAATATAACTATTTTACCCTCAGATGAATTTTTTTTTCTTAAGGAAGAAATATTTGAAAGTTCAATTCGTTTCTCCGTACATTCACATGACCTGTGTGTAGCCCACTCCCACACAATGGAGTTAAATTCCAACTCTCCCTCATTTCTCCTGGTGACAATCTAAGATAAAAAAAATGGAAGAGGTTTCAACTTTCAAGAGGTTTCTATTCAAACTTTAATTCCAGAATGGGATAAAATTAAATCACAAAAATCATCCATCATTATCATATGAGACAGTGTGTATCAATATTTTTTGAGAAAATGAATGAAAAGATAAGGAGATAGTTACAATCAATAAGGAATGAGAAAAAGAAAAAAGAAAATAAAACTAATATAGATAGATAGTTACAATCAATAAGGAAACAACAATGCTACTTATATTACTAGATACATGAATGTATTTTACCCAAAAATAAAAATACAAATTATATGAAGTACTAAAGAAATTCTCATTAAAATCACTAATTTTTACTAAATTAAGTTGTTACACCAGACATACAAGGGAAGGCAATGCGGTAAAATTGTTTCAATAAACTTTATATGAAGGCGAGCCTTAGTGCAATGGTAAAGGTTACTCCATTGGGACGTAGAGATTTCTGGTTCGAAATAAGGATACATCCTCTCTCTATGCCGATGTAAGATTGTGTAAATCTAACCCTCCTTGCAATGAATTTGCCCTTTGTTTTAATAAACAGGCACCAGACATGCCAGTGAAGCTATGGCCAGAGACTTGAACATAACAGATGATGGCATGCTACCCTTGTCACTCCTGAGGAAGAGGGCTTTGTAAACAGGTAAATTAACCACAACTATTAGCCAGCAAAGAACAACATTTGGGATCAAACCTTCAAGAGCACTAGTGAACTCCATATCCCAAACAAATCTCTTCATTCCTTCAGCTAAACCGAAAAGATTTAGCATTGCTAGTGTTGCTATAATGGTTGTCATGACAGATGAGCTTCCAAACTCAAAGATATCTTGCTCGTATCGCTTCAACACATCATCATCGATCACCTTAGCCGTGATGGCGAAAGCTGTTTGATGACAGCCAAGTTGCCGGAGAATGTTGTCCATGAAGGCGAAGAAAAATGAAGTCGTCCTCCTAAACACCAACATTCTTTGTGCGTTCCACCATGCTTGGAGTGTATCTCCACAAATAATGGCCTCAAATATGCTACAAGCATTCCTGGCTACAAATACATATGCAAAGGGCAAGAACCACAGGCTGGAAACCTGAGATATACACAAGAAGCCATTAAACCAGTGGTATCACACACACACACACACTTGAAACACTAGATAGATGGATATAAGCTTGATAGTTTTCTAATAAAAAAGAAGAAAGATTGGTACCTTTGGGAACAAGGGAATGCCATGGAGCAAGCAAAGGGAAGGAACAATGACATAATACAATGTGGGAAAGGAAAGTGGAGCCCACAAAAGGTAAATACAGAGTCCCATTTGGGCACCAAATTTGATCCTCCCATGCCCATAAATGAAAGGGCAATACTTGGAGAAGAAAACCTGAAACATGCCCTCAGACCACCTCTTGAACTGAACAAGAGATTGATCTAATGTAGCTGGAGCAAGACCCAAGAAGGACTTTTTATGTGGATTATAGTAAACAGATTTCCATCCCCTGCATTGGATTGCCAACCCTGTTACTATATCTTCCACTGGACACCCATATATCAACCCCATCTGCAACTCCATATAAACAACCACTAAATCATCACTATTATATTATATTTTGTCATATATATATAGAGAGAGACAGACAGACCTCTATGCCCCATTGAGTACCCTTCTCATAACTACAATTTGCAAGAACTTTTGATGCTTCTTCCAATTTCTCTGCAGTAGCATCTTTACTTTTAGTAGTCACTCTGTCCCATTGTGCTCTGTGATCCTTAGAGTACTTCCTTCCACAAAGACCCTCTCTCCTATGAAAGCATCCAGTGCCACCATACAAGGCACCACTACATCCATCTAAACCAGCAAGCTCAATCTTCATTTACAACCATGATCATTACAAATAAAATAAATAAATAAAAAATGTCAGTATGTCAAAATAATTAATTTGAAAATAGGTTGATAAACCAATGCATTCTATTAAGAAGTTGGTCATAAATATATATATATATATATATATATATATTGAACAACATTTTCGAGTACAAACCTTATTAATTGCATTGGCTACGCTAGAATAGATATCATTCTTAGTGATGTTATTGTACCACTGAGGATACTGTACATATGAGATTTGGTGGCCTTGCTCTTCGTCCATGAAGAAGCACAATGACTCCAATATTGCGTCTGAATTGTTGGAGTACATGTCACAATCCACGTTGAGGATGATCGGTCCATTGCTTATTTCTGATGACACCCTAATCTGCACAATATTATTCAGTTCAATGTTTCTTTTATGCAAAAATTATATGTATAAATTTCTTATTGATTGTTTTTGTTTCAAAAAAATTCTATCTTGTTTCAAAAAATTGTAACATAGATAATTTGTGCAATGGTACACGTGGTTCTACAAGTAAAAAAAAAAAAAAAAAACATTGATTACCAGTGCATTCATGGACCCAGCTTTGAAGTTATGAGGCCATTGAGGCCTCTTCTCTCGTGCCAAATACACTAATGTTGGCAATTGATGTCCATTATTATCCACTGCACTGGGGCTCCTTCCATCAATTAAAATCTGGAAAAAAAAAAAATTAACACTGATTTCTCTGGTGATAAAATTATATATTCAAATGGTATTAAATGTTTTGAGCACTGAATATATATGTACTAAACATTACCTGCACTATTGACTGGTGATTGTTCTTTGTTACTTCAGAGCTCCATTCTTTGAATCCTTTATGTTGATCCCTTATATCTTTGGAAATACAACCCTTTTCAATGGCTGTTTCGATCCGGATTTTCATATCTTCATATAGTTTCTGAAAAAAAAAAAAAAAAAAAAAAAAACAAACAAACAATAGGAGGGATACGTCATCCTTCATTTTTTACAAATTTTTATCCATAAAAAAATAGAATGAAGAGATGAGGGAAGAAAAGTGGACTATTATACAATTTTTAAATTAATAGTAATATCCTAAATTACTCACATTTTAAATTATAGTATTAGCATCTACAAATTACAATATTATAGATATTACTAAACATAATGGTAAAAATAATTTAAACTTTATATTTCCTTCTCTCCTAACAAAGATAATAAATTGTGATTTTATTCTCTTCTCTTCCATCCAACTAAATAAAAAGAATGAAAGATACAATCTCTTCTTAGATGTTTCATCCATCACTTCTTCTCTCTCTTTCATTTAATTTTTTTCTTTCTTACCCAACGGAGCAATAATTAGTGTAATTCTCAAAAAAAAAAACATTATGGTTACTTCAGATCATTGATAGTCAGATTTTTTTTGATAAAGTACCAAGTTATTTTGAATTACACACAAAATTAGTGTTCATGTAAATATAATGACTAAATTGCTCTTGCTGAAATAAGGCAGCACTTTTAGTATGTTCACAACTAACTTATGAGTTGTGTTGAAGCATCGATTTTATAGTTCATAAATGCACTAATTTTGTTCCGGACTTAAGGGCTACAAGGGTAATTTGGTCGCATGATTCACATATTTGGATGAAATATGATTTTTCATATAACCATAAATATATATAACTTTGCATTTTCGAATAATTGTAGTTTCAGGGCCTAAATGCATATTTGGGTAACTTTCCCAAAGAATAATTTTTTAAATTCTCAATGAATACATATAAATTTATACATGTGTATAGTTTGTATATGTCGTGCCTTGTTCATATATATATATACGTACATAAATTTGTGTGTGTGTATATATATATACTTATTTTTCTATTTATTATTTTGGGTAAATTGCAGTGACCTCTCCTTTAGAATGTCTAAATAACATGTACCTCCCTTATAATTTTAAAAATAACATTGACTCGCCCTGTCAGTGTTGTCTATTTACCAAAGGCATGAAATGACAATTATATCTATTTTGCACTTTTTTCGTTACAACATATGGACAAAAATATCTTTTCAATCATTCCAAAGACAAATAATAGATAATTCAGACAAATTTTTTGAATGATGTAGTCAACGTTACTTTGACTGGCATTACAATGAATGTTAGTGTTATTTTTAAAACTAAAGAAAAGATTATTATTATTTAAGCATTCCATCGGAGAGATCAGTGTAATTTATCATATTGTTTTTCATACATACGTATAAGAGAGTAGATATATTGCTTGAATAATATAGAATGTTACCTTAATAGCCAACCATTCTTGTTCGAATGCTGTGTCTTGTGTGTCAGAATTCCGAGAAAAATAGGCTTCCGGAGACCTTGGTTCAACCTTGAACTTGTTGCAAAATGGTATCCAATGTTTAGAGAACGCAGAGGCCTCTAAGAGAGCATAGAATGTGAATTCTGACCCACCATCATCGGAGAGGTAAACGCTCAATTTTTTCGACGAATAATTGTATGACATGACTGATAAAACGGTGTTAACCACCATTGTTGGTGGCTCTATTGTGGGATCAGCCGTGCATACAAAAATGTCAACTCCAGGCAACTTGTCCCCATACCTGTGGTAATTAATATTTTAATATATCAGAGAATGCCAAACGTTGCCATTTTGTACAAAGTGTTGTTCTTTGAATTAAATAAAATCAAGAAAAGAGATTGATCTAAAAAATTCCCTTGTTCAATAAATGATGTGTTTGTCACATAACACAAGACAATTAAGTTCAGATTTTATAGAAATGAATCTGGATTGGAATAAAGCATATATTTTTTTTAAACAATTCACCAACTTTATGTCGCAATTACCAACTGAGATTTGATTAAATATTGAGTATAATGGAATTTTTATTTTTATTTTATTTTTTTCTTTTATTTTTATTTTTTATTTTCCCATTGAATTGAGAATAATATTGAGTATAATGAGATGCTCACTATTTTTCTTCGTAAAAAATATTTGGTGGTGGTACCCAAGAAGGCTCATTATAAGTTAAGGGCCTGAAGGCAAAACTTATTTCACTGAATATTTATTAATTTTTTTATTTTTATTTATAAGCCATTATTGTTGCTTGTTGAAATACAAAATTATTAATTTTGTTAGAAAAGTTGATTATTTATTTACTACATAGCTCCTTATTTTTTAAAATTAATTAATGTACCTCACAATTTCTTTTCTTTTTTAAAAATTATTAATCCAATTTCACATTTCCTAAGTTAACATATTTATAGATAATTTTTCTACTATTATCGAAAATGTTTTGATTTATTACGAATTTCTCACCTCTTTTTAAACTTCAAGAAAATTTATTAATTCTAAAATGTGAGATCTTTTCACTCAGAAAATATAAAAGATGCGTAATTATTAAATCTGTTTAATTAAATAAAAGTATATGAAAAGACAAGAGATTGACTGATGTAATCAAATCAAGTGGAGAGGAAAACTGATAAAGATTCTTAACATTAAAAAGACAAAAATAGGCCCAGGTTGAGAGAATATATATTAGGGTAAAGTACACTCATGAGGGTTAAAAATAAAAGTTAGAGGGTTAATAATGTTAATTCATTATTATTAAGGTGTCTTTGATAATTCTGAATGCCTTTATCTCAAAATAAGTAAACTTTCTTTTCCTTTTCTTTACTAAACCACGTAATAAGATTTTTCTAGTCTAGCTGCCCATTGGATGAGCCCGAAGTTAGTATGGCGGGGTCAATAAAAATTAATAGTATAATAATTAGTCGATAAGAAATTATACATTCTTGTAAGATTATTTTTTCAAATTTAGAGTTTTGATTGAAATGATCCAAATTCCTTTAAGAGTAGTTTTCAAAAATAAATGGAACTAATTTTATAAAATGATTTTGATCATATTTTAATAGTGATCCGGAAGGCAACATATGAAAAAATGAATAATAACTAAAAAATAATGTATTTTTATTGACCGGACATAATATAGCCGACGTATAATGCAAATATATATATATGTCTAACTGTTTAATTGGTCTAGCGATGAGTCGGCCCTGTCGATACTTTAGAGTACCATGCGACACTTTCTTGGTGTGGAACTGTCAACTGTGGAAGCCATGGTTTTGTAAATTTTGTGTGTGTATTTGTGTGAGAGAGAGTCAAGAGAGTACCTCTTGGAGAGCCTGTCCTTGAATGGGAAACGGTAGATAACGTTCCAACGAACAGATTGAGTGACGATCCAGTACAACCCGAACCACAGTTCGGCCATGAACATGCCAATCCAAGCCCACCGTCCAGCTTCTTCTGCTGTTGGGATGTTTGTTAACCTGTACACCCATATCAAACATATACCTGTTAATATTGTGGACGATAAGATCCTATATGCAACTCTACCCCTTGCTTCTTTTGTCTCGAATAAAGGAAGAACCTCTTCTTCCCCTCCACCATGACTGCCCATCTCTCTCTCTCTCTCTCACACACACAAACACACACTGATATTTCATGGATGACAAAGTTCCCTTTTTTATACTGGATACATTGAATTAATAAATGTATACATATATTATAGTAATATAAATATATATATATATATATATTATATTATGTATTTATCTTATCATCTCTTCTTAGGTGACCACATATATTTTGTTATTTTGTTACTTACTGCATGTTCTTTAACAAGCTGTCTCTGCTTTCTTTCTACTATGAAGTAGTATTAGACAGATAACTTAAGTGGTCTACATCTCATCTGATGTGATATGTGACGGTTTATTTATTTATTTGTTTGATTATTATTATTATATTATATTTTATTTATTTATGTAAAACTTAAACACTTAATTTTTTATTTGGAAATGAGAGATCATAGGATCTGATTAGTGTTCACTTATTAAATTTTAGTAGAATTTACGGGATTAGATTTTTTATTACAACAGAAGTAATCTATATGTGTAAATGATATGTTATATACCCATAAGAGTTGCTAATGTTGAAAATATTCACAAAAATATAATGATGCGAACATATAAAAGAGTGTCATGATACGAAATTTAAAAATCAAATAACTGTATCTGATGTAATGTGAGGTATGAACTGTACCACATTTTCTTTTGGGCATCAACAATTTCACCACCCCTAATGATATTGTTTGATTTGAGATAAGTTTGCATGTGAGACCTGATGCTGAGTTGGTCAAACAATGTACACAAATTACCAGTAAAATTTGGTCTAGAAAACTAATATACACCTAGCTCTATGGTGTGTGTGTTTATATATATATATATATATATATATATATATATATATATATAAAAATTATATAATAATAGTGGTTGTGCAATAGAATGGTTGGTCAAATGGCTTTTTGTTCCTTTAATGAGTGTATAACGTGGAACAAATAATTTTAGGGCAAATTATACAAAGGACGCCTAAAGTTTTTAACTTATACATATAGATATAAGATGGGCACAATATAACATAAATGTCCAAATTAACTATTTGTGGTTAGCGAATTGATATGAATTTACATTTTTATCCTTAGAGTTAAACTATTTGTTTAATAAAAAATTTTAAATTTTTTTGTGTATTGTTAAAGTTATAGTTTTACCCTAAGACTCCATCACCAAATTGTAAAAACCACAAAATTATTTGCAACAGAACTAATCACAGACCCAAATACAATATTTTTTTATTTTTTATTAAAAATAAATACTTTAATTTTAAGGTTAAAAGTGTAAATTTGTATTGATTTTTTTTTATCAAATGGTTAATATGAACCTTTGTGTAATATTGCTATAACTTCTATCTACATGCACAATATCAAAACTTCGTGAGTGATTTGTGTAATTTGCTCATAATTTTATAGATTAACTCAACTAAAACAAATAACTAAGCAGAAACGAAAAATAAAACTAAAAGACAAACAAGCGTCTGTCGCAATGTAGATGAAACGTAACAAAATTGACTACCTTTACCTATACTATATAAAATTAAATCATTTGGACTTATCTTTTTATTTAATCTATTTGTCCATTTCTGATTTTTCTTTGATCGCCTAGATCTCTCAAATAATGCCACTATTTTTAAAAAAAAATAATTGCAGAGTTTTGTCACATATTATTGTTCGTTCATTTTTTTTTTTTCTTTCTTTTATGATGATAGCTAAACGTTCCATTCATCGTAATTTTTCCCAAAAGATTAATTAATAATTGTCTGAGAAGAAGGAAGGGAAAAATGATTTTGGCAACAATGTGTAAAATTAATTCCCATAAGTGGGTGAGAATAAATTATTACATGTTTTATATATGTTTATGAAAATGTTAATTCGGTTTCGAAGATAAATAGTGGATTAAATAAACTCCTTTTATTGGTTGTGAATATGTGATGTCAATAATTATATCATAATTACATTGTCCAGATTGATTAGTACTAAGATTTATCTGTATATTTGTAAGTTTCTTGTAATACTAGAATTATTTATTTGGGTAAAGTATAAAAAACCCCCCGAACTTTACTCTCTCTTCCTAAAAACCCCCCTGAACTATTTTTTGTACAATTAACCCCCTGAACTATCAATTTTTTTGCAAAAATTACACACCGGCGAAATTCCGTTTGATTTCTCCGGCAATTAGGCGCGTGATGAATACATGCCAGCAATATATTTTGAAAATGACAAATCTACCCTTATACTATTAAATGTATAAAATAAAAATAAAAAAATCCCATATTAAAGCCCTAAAAAAATCACAGCGTCGGTGCGGTGAGGGATGGATTTGAGAAAGAGGTGGTCGCGGTCCTCATCGCCGTCGGTGCTAGAGAAGGTCAGCGTCCTCATCGCCGCTGGTGATAGAGGTGTTCGGCGTCCTTATCGCCGCTGATGCTAATTTTCTAAAAAAAAAAAAAACCCTAACCCACTTTTGTTTCCCCCTCTCTCTCTCTCCGCGATGCCGGCAGTTCACCCACCTTCTCTCTCAATTTCACCACCGCCGCATCCTTAGCCCACCTTCTCTCTCTCAATATCGACGTCGCGACCTCATCACCGCTGTGAACCTGTTGTCGCCGCCGAAGCCGCCATCGTCATCGCTACGAACTAGCCGTCAGCGCGCGTCTCCATCTCGTTCTTGACATTTCTTTCTTGTAATGGCTGACTCATCTGTCATAGTGTCACTATAGGGTTCCGAACTAGCCGTCGTCCATGGTGACTGTTGGACTATGGATTTGTGATTTGCCGTGGTCTCACCGATTTGCCTCGTCTCCAATTTTAAAGCTGATTCGCTGCCGTCCTGAACCACTGTGCCAGTTCCATCTCCTCCCTCGAGCTCAACCTCCGTAGTTGCCGCCACAACACCACCATCACTAGACCCATCTCCTCCCCGATTTCAATGGCTTCCTTTTCTGCACTGTGTGGCGTGAATAAAAGAAAGGCTTGTCCAAAAAATAAATAAATAAATAAAAGGAAGGTTGAGTTACCCTAGCAGAATTTCTCAGCGGTCTCGAAAGTCTCAGAGCTTCTACGTCTTTTGGTCTTTTCCGGCCGCCTTCCACGGCGGCATTTGTGTCATGCGACTTCCCGATCGTTGAATCTCAAATCGGAATTCGATTTGAAGTCCAAAATTTTCGACTTTGGCCTCGTGAGATCGATTATTTGGGGTTTTGATTCGAATTCAAAGAAATAATTTTCAATAAATATGTGTCTGTATGTGTATATGTAGATATATATGTGTCCGTATGTGTATGTATAAATATATATGTGTATGTTTTGATTTTTTGGAGAAGATGAACAGTATTCTATAAAACGGTGCCGTTCAAGTAGAGGGTAATTTTGTAATCTTGATTTTCCGGTGCTGGAGTCTTGCCTGATGTCCTTAAATGCAACTTTTTAGTAGTTCAGGGGAGCATTTGTTAATTCAAGGAGGTTTTGTGCAATTGGCTTATAATTCAGAGGGATTTATTACACTTTACCCTATTTATTTATGCTAAACTCAATATATCATGTGCCATATAGCATGTGCCCTTTTAGCATCATATCATCACCAGACCATTGGCCTAAGTGCTACGAGCTTGGAAGATAACCGATTGAGCTCCAAATGGAACAATATGGTGTGTGTGAGAGTGCCTGCGTTGCTAATTAGTTATTTGAAAGTTATAAAAAGTCACCAAATTTTTCAATGGAAGGACATTGGAAGTCAACCTCACTGTGTCTGTCTATTTACCATGAACTCTATTTCAATCAATTTTATTTTATTTTATTTTTTCTTTCTAAAAACAATCCTTTGATTTAGAAAAATAAAGTTAAATTAAAAAATAGAAAGCCAGTCAATTACTTAATCTTTGGTCTTAAATTACTTTTGAAACAGAGATGTTCTTTGTTTGTTAGTCTATGTGGCTACCGAACTTTTGATCCAAGATGACATACATCCCTTTGGTAAAGTTTTTACTTTTACTTTTATTTGGCTTATATGAAGTGTGGTAGTCTGTTAATTAGGACTATATGATATGGTATTATTTGCTATGGTATTATTTGCTTTGAACGTGAGTTCACACGGTTTTGCTCTTGAGTTTTACTCCGAAAGGCCTCATACCAATTGGAATGACACACTTACATATAAGCACTTCACTTTTCCCTTTTCCAGATAATGTGGGATTGTGCACTCGTAACTCGCCATTGTGGTATCCAATCAGTGTCTTGCACCCGTCCACAGGGTCATCACATGTATTTTAAAAAGGTATTATAATTATTTTACCCTTAAATGAAATGTTTTATTTATTTATTTATCTTTTTTTTTTTTTTTTTTTTTTTTTGGAGTGTTTATCAACCTAAAAAATTAATTAAATGAGCATTTTTATCGTGTCAACCGATGAAATAAAGGTTCAAAACACTTACCAACCATCCCAACCGATGCAACCAAAACTATCATATTCACAAACATATATTTGTGAAAGAAAAAGATCTGTCACCCATCTATCATGAATGTCATGAATGAATTTTTATTTTTATTTTTTTTACATTGCTGATTGTGGAGGGAAAAATCCCCCTCCAGCAAGAGTCGTCCACGTCTTCATATTACAAATTTATATTTGCAGTTCTAATTCAGGTCGGGCCAAAATTGCAGAAGCCCAATCTGGATAGAGCCCAACGCGAGTCTTCCTTTAAACTAAGGTTGTTGGCACTTATCTTCCGGCCCATTATACAAAGCTCCGCTGGCGATTGATATGAAGAACTATTGCTAGAATTATAAAATGCTTCTGGTTTGTGTTTAAAAAAATAAAAAAAAAAATTCTTGTCCTTCTGTCGTCCAATTTAGGATTGTTGCAGTGAGTATATGAATTACTTTGGAAGTGAAGGTGAATGAATATTTTACTAAGGTGATTTTTGTTTGTTTAGACATAAATGTATGTATATGTATTTATATTTGTAGTAAAATCCAAAATTTGATCAGTCGATTCCACTTGTGTCTAATGTGCAGGCTAAAGACATTCGTTCAACAAAGCATCAGTACGCATTTGTTATGCGCTGGGTTGCTCTAAAAGCACTAATGAATCTGCAACTACTGACAAAAGTTGATGTGGGTATGATAAATGTACCGGACAGTTTCTTTAAAGTTCATAAACCAAAATAGCATTATTTCAAAAAAGAATAAGAAAATATTCTTGGACATATGTATAAGCGTGTGTAAATATTACCACACATTTATCGTAAGAAATTTGACAAAAATAAAAAAAAAATAAAACAAAAAATATGATCATATATTTTTATGAGTACATTCAATGTTAGATTTAAAATTTACCTACTACACATCTCAAAATATTATATATATCGTGTACTGTTGAAATCGTAAATTTTAAAATAAATAAAGTGAAAGTAAGAACAAGATCACTTATAGAACTTGAGATCGGAGCTTCATACGTCCACCACCGGAACCAGATTGAGGGATCGGAGGCTTGGCATCATCTCGCCGCGCCTCCAAAACTCACCGGATTGCTTTGGCGTAGACATCGCTAGTCTACATATTTAGGCTACAAATGTTTGGTCAGTGTATTTGCTTCCATCTTGTATGGAGTTAGGGGCTTCGCTCTTTGTCTGGGCTCCAAATTTGGGCTTTGTTTGTTGGGGAACCCCAACTTGTTTTTGTTTATTTGGGCTTTGGCCCTTTTGTACATCTATTATATTTATACAAGAAGTTTATACTCCGAAAAAATTAAAAAAAAACATGTTTTAAAAAATTGTGGAAATTATGTGGTAGTATATTTTTAACAACTCGTCATTATCAGACCATTGGTCTAAATAGTATGATCTCTACGTTTTAAAAGAAGTGTGTGTGTACGTTGCGTATGTAATTGGTTAATTGAAGTTACAAACAATCATGAATTTTTTCTTAGTGGGAGAACATTGGAAAAGAAAAAATCAACCTCACTGTCTCTGTCTAATTATCATCCACTCTATTTTATTTTTTTCATTTTCTCTGAAAACAACCCTTTGATTTAGAAAAATAAAAACTAGATAGCCAGCCAAATAATTTACATCATAATAACCCACAAACTTGCAATAAAATGTAACAAATGGCAAACAAAGAGAATTACAAATTTCTAAATATGTTTGGGTATGGGCTGCGGATGTTAAAAAGAAGAAAAACTAAGGATCATATTATGTTGGGCCAAAATGAAATGGTTTCTGAAACAGTGATGTTCTTTGTTTGTTAGTCTATGTGGGTAACGGGCTTGGGCTCCAAGATGACATAGAACAGATTGGGCCTAGTAGAACTTATCCTCACAAAACTTTGGGAGGTCTGGGCCCGTCTAAGGATTGGCAAACCCAAATTTTTTGACAGAGTAAGTTAACAGCAACTTGGGAAGTCCACTATTGATCTTCTAAGCTAAAACGTTAATTCAATAATCAACATTACAAAAAGATAATCAATAAATTTTAATAAGCAGATATTAGGTGGGACACATGACAATCTAAACAAAGACAACAATAATGAAAGCATAAGTTAACCAAAAAAAATAATAATTAGAATGAGGAGCATATGATATATACAAGTGTGGTTAAAAGTTATTAAATTATTATATTCAAGTATGGTTAAATTATCTTTTTCAATAGATAATATAGTCAATTCATTTAATCTTTCTTATGACATAGTTGATCGTAGTTGTTATTTTATCAACTTTAAATTTGAAATACTTCTTTTTGCTGCAGCAACGGTTAATACTTGAAAAGTTTAAATAAGATGTTGGGTCTAAAGGCCCGATTCCATTTGACTTAAAGTTGAAGTGAACAGGGCAGAGCCAATTAAGGCCATGATGGAGTGGAGTGAAGCTAGCAAAATAAATCGTAATACTAACAAGATATAACTAGTTGATGATGTTTATAGGAGCAAAAGTAATTATATTAGACAATTTTTTGTCAGAAATCACAGTAAACACTTTATATTAACCTTTCACCCAATTTTTTTTTTTTTAAATCAAACTGGCTCAATATAGTGCATAAGAAAACTTAATCTTTATGTAATTTGATAAAGACTTGTAGCGTAGTAATACTTTTGGACCTTTCTTAATAGAAGGTCTTATGGATTCGGTATGTGAATTTGTTTCTTGCTAAAGTAAAAATAAAAAAAATAATAATAATAATGAAGGTAAAATTAAAACCAAATTAAAATAATTGCTCACTAATAATTATAATTAAAAAATTCACTAAAAACATAGTCCAATGATAATTACGTTTTTCTTTACACAAATCTTATTCAACTCAAATTTTGTAAGTCAGATTAATTTTTCTTCCACGTCCTACTTAATAATTCGTTCCCAATATCTATGATCCAAAAAAATAAAATAAAATAAAAAGTTTTACCAATATGTTTCGATAAAAGATGGCTAGCGTTGTGTAATTTTGATGGTTACTGTTTACTTTAGGCATCGTTTGGAGACTGCAATATGTCTCTCCACAAACCCCATTTGAGTACTGACTGACTAAAATCAGCTCGCCGTTGGAGAGAGAGAAAGAGAGGAGAGAGAGAGAAACAGGGGCCCATGGTTGGGAGCAGACTTGTATCATCATTTCTCAGGAGGAGCAAAGCCCTAAATAGTAGCATATCCTGCAATGTAAGGGGATCATCAACTAGGGTTTTCAATGAACCATCTCTAAACCCTTGCATATTCTACTCTGTTTATGTTGGTGCTCGTAATACAACTAATTCTGTTACGGCAAGGAACTTCATTTTCTATGGCTTCAGATCCATTGTTTATCATCATCATCATAAGGTTCGATTTCTACCTTGTCATGTCGCTTCATTTCTTCATTTGTTTTTAGAATTATATGAAAAAAATTATTATTTCCTTTGTTTGATGTTCTGTTTTCATTCCTCTTTATCTGAAGCTTTACCTGTCTTAATGAGCTATGAATTGAGTAAATCACGTAACGAATATGCGTGTCTATATATGTATATATAATGTTGGAATTTCTTTTAAGATGATTTGGGTTGGTTTTATTCTAAAAAAAGAGGTGAAAGTTGTACCTTTTTTCTTTTATTTATTTCTATTGTTTCCGATGTGTGGTCTTGCAATTTAGTTTCAAATGATCTTGTTTATTTATGGATATATTATGTTGGATTTTCCTTTATATTTATTTGGTTGTTCATTGTAGAAAAATTCGGTGGAAGTAGTAAAATTTTTTATTTTATGTTTTTTTCCCCAGTGTGTGGTCTTCTAATTTAGATTCTAATGATGTCTTGTTGATTTGATTAATGGACTTGGATTTCATTGTGTGCTTTTTATTCTTGTAGACTCGCATTAGATAGATCCATTTTATATGCTTTGTTTGAAAAAAAAGAAAATAAAAACCCTACCTTGATCACCTGTACTCTAGTTTTTGTTCTTTTCTCAAAATGATATGTTGATGCTTACTTTTTGTTATTGCTTAGATCCTTTTTGGATTTCTTAGTCTTTCAGTTAGAATAGTTGAAAGTCTTCTTATTAGGGGATTTTCTTTTTTCTTATCAGCAAAGAGTTGGAACTTAGACTTGTAAGTTGCAAGTGGACCAGTGTGAAGCTTTAACCTCCTTGTGAGCTAGACAGAAGTCATTCAACAACTGCATTGCAAAGCTACTATTTCCCTTAGAAGTGTTTATCTTTAACCAAGTTAGCCTACTAATCTTGGGACATTGAAGTAGATAGACTTCTTTTTATCAACTAGAAACTTCAAGCATCAATTTTTTCTTCCTTTCCTTGTGTTTGAATACTTTTTTTTTTTAAAATTTTTTTTTTATACATATATATTTTAGTTTTGTCTATAAATATAATAAAAGGATCAACATTATATGCTTTTTCAGGAATTTTCTATTCCATCTTTTAGGAATATGTGTACCACGGCAACTACCAATATGATAAATAAGGAGGGTTTAAAGCTTCTGGTTACTGCTGGGCCCCATGCACAGAAAGCTGTTGGAATATGGCTTTTTGCTTCAGCTGCCTGGGTGTTTAGTATGGTGGTGCTTGGGGGTGTCACACGACTTACTCGATCTGGTCTTTCGATGACTGACTGGAAATTCACCGGTAACCTTCCTCCTCTATCAGATGATGACTGGTTGATTGAATTTGAGAAATATAAGCAATCCCCTGAGTACAAGCGGTTAGTTCAAACAACACTTAAGTGTCTCTGTAACTAATATTTGTTTATTGTGCAGCTTGTGCCTGGAATTTCATTTTATTTTTGTCAGATTTTTTTCATGATTTGTAACTCCAATTTTCATATTTGAGTCTACCAGTGATGTTGCTTTGTATTTACAAATGATGTAGAAAATCCAAATTTTGTTGGTTACTGGTGACTTATTTGATTTCTGATATCTTGTAGTGTAAACAAAGGGATGAGCATTGAAGATTTCAAGTTCATTTATTGGATGGAATATGCACATCGAATGTGGGGAAGAGGACTAGGTATCATGTTTGCACTGCCATTTTCATATTTTCTTCGTAAGGGATACATTACTCTGCGACTTGGAATGAGACTCTCTGTTCTCTTTGCCCTTGGTGCTGGACAGGGACTAATCGGTTGGTGGATGGTTAAAAGTGGTTTAGAGGTAAAAAAAGCATACTTAAAAGTTCTGTTTATGGCACTAAAATTTTGTATGAGTTGTGAAACTCTTAAATAGGTTTCATCTCTTCCGTTCTTCTTTTAAAGGAGCCACCATCTGAATATTCTCAACCTAGAGTAAGCCCTTACCGCCTAGCAGCTCATCTTACGTCAGCTTTTGTTATTTACTGTGGCCTGTTTTGGACTGCTCTATCTGTTGTTATGCCTGAACCACCTGCTGAATCAGTTGCTTGGGTTCGTGGGGCAGCAAAAATTAAGAAACTTGCCCTTCCTCTAAGCATCCTCGTTGGCATCACTGCTGTATCAGGAGCATTTGTTGCAGGGAATGATGCCGTATGTAACTATCTTACTTTTTGTATCGTAATGCTTTGAGAAAATTTGTGAGATGAATCTTTGTTTGAATGCTAAATTGCCAGGGACATGCTTTTAATACTTTCCCGAAGATGGGTGATACATGGATTCCAGATGATATTTTTAGCATGAAGCCACTTGTCCGCAACTTCTTTGAGAATACATCAACGGTTCAGGTATCTTTCGAAGTTCTTGGTCACCGTATACTATAGCAGACTTATATGCCTTTCCAGATGAATGCATCAATAGCTATTAACTAGAATCGAGGTTGATTTAGCTGCAGATATGAGGAAGAGCATAATGATTGCGATGTTAAAACATATTCAAAGAGGAATACGAATTTAAATTTTACCTTACGGAAATAAAAGGTGCGATTTCATAAAGCTGGACGCCACCTTCGAATTTCAGCCATTTTCCAAATTCATTATCTGATTCACCACTGAAATGACTTTTACAACATTTCATGAAGTGACCAAAACAGTCACACCTGAAGCAGATCTCTGGTAGGCGCTCATAGCATAATGGAGCCGTAATCAACCTTCCCCCCTAGTTGAGTTTTACAAACTGTCTAATGGGTTTGGTGTATTGTTGAAGGCGAACATTTGGAGTTTCCATACACCCTTTATTTTCCCTAAATCTCCCCAAATTGAGAGTTACTCCTATAATTTAAATGAATAAAATTATCTAATGTTGTTTTCAGCGAAATCAAATTAGGGAATTAAGATGTTAAATATTATTTCCTTTCGTCCCTGCTTTTTTGCACCAAGTGTAACCTGTACTTATGTCTGTAGAAGATTCTTGTAACTGTCAGGTATTTTTTTGATGGATTTGGCATTATCAGTTCCTCCCCCATTTTTGTGCCATTTTATCAATACAGGGGAACACCAGGGGAGGGGGTAAGATGAATTGGTGTTTTGGAACAAACGTTGCCATTACAAGCTGTTATAAAACTCTGAAGTGTGTCTTTAGATTTTTTCGACTACCAAAAGAGGAGTACTACGAAAATTATTTTTATATTCAACACAATCAGCATATGTGTTGTTATGGTTGAATAGTTATATAGGGGAAACTGTTACCTTCAAATACGAATACCAGTTCATATGTTCGATTGGAAGCACCATTGCTAGAATTGTTTTGGCTGTTCCCACAACATTTAGTACCACTCATTAAACATTTTTGACTTGAAACACTGCAGAATCAAACATGCGACTGAATATCATGATTCCATTGTTCAAACAGAGAATTAATTTCTGAAGGAGTTTGTTTCCAAAAGTTACTTTTTTATAACTTTGTTGGAGCCACATAATTCTCAAGCCATTTACGAATTACAGCTGCATGCAAGGCTTGATTCTGCATCCATTGTTTGATACATTGAGAATTTAGGGGCCCTACTTGGCCCTCATGTATCTTTTGATGGATGCGTTCCTGTTTGAACGCTTTCTAATTAATCTTGCTTACTTTCTAATTAATCTTGCTTAATAATAAAAAACGGTGTTAAATATAGCTGGTTTCAGTTATACATTTGTGTACGTGTTATTGCTTGAACTTCCTGAAGATGTAAAACAAATAAATTTTAATTGAATTAGAAAAATTTATGTTCTCAAGCACTAATTTATGATACTTTTCCAGAGAATTTTTTCTTAATGAGTTCATATATCCTTTAATGCTTACAGCTTGACCATCGTATCCTTGCGACTGCAACCTTAGTTTCAATTGGCAGTTTTTGGTGGTGCACGAGAAACCTGGACATTCATCCGGCCATACGATCTTTAATCGGAAGCACCATGGGCATGGCTGCTCTTCAGGTAATTTTAGTTTTGAGTTCTTTTAAGTTGTTTGTTTAAACTATTTTCAGTTATGAGTTCTTTAAAAATTGTGTTGGTAGTTTAATCATTTTTGTAGTTTTGAGTGTTTTCTTATTGTCTGAAAATTAGTAACTTCTTGGTATCTCAATTTCATTTTACCTAATTGCAGGTGACTTTGGGGATATCAACCCTTCTATCTTATGTACCTGTTTCGTTAGGCACTGCTCATCAGGCTGGAGCTTTAACTCTTTTGACACTTATGATACTGCTCAATCACACTGTGCGAAAGCCTTCATTGTCGCTTCTAAAAACTCTGCCTAAGGTTGCAAAGTCGACCTGATAATTTCAGCTTAGGGATTTGTATCAAGGATTAGGCTTCATATAATTATTCATCAAGGTCGACTATTCATCAGTTACCCATTGTGAAGGTCAGTGGACATTTTATCAGTTGCCCATTGTGAAGGTCAGAGTCCACTTTGCCATATCATACAGAAATACATTCTTATTTGGATCTCTTAACTGAATACATGCTCCAGACTTAGGAGCCCTGAATATTTGTCAGGTGAAGAAAAATAGTTTCAAAGGTTTCTATATTTGGTCAGTGCTGGTCCGCCTACAGTGTGACAAAAACGTTAAAATTTTGATCATATTATATAAAGTGATTGCTTTGATACTCGAATCAACTTTTATCATTGCATCAAGTATTGATACGATTAGAAACTATTTTTCCTTTTTTTCTTCTTTTGGCTGAATATGGCAATTGGGACAACATTTTAGATATGTTTATGCAAAATAAAATGAAGTTTTCCTTTTCATTGAGTTTGAAATTACATAATCTGTGTCGACTTCAATTACATTAGCCACTCAATATGGTATTGCATCACTTGTTTCTCTTCAAGAGTGGTATAAATGCTCATTTTCTTTTCCTTGAGTTTAGATCCTCTTTTTGGTTCTAGCAACTCTCTCTTACTATGTCTGAATTATTATTATTATTATTTTTTTTTGTGTGTTATGGCATTTAACATACCCATCTATTATCTCTCTATGGAGATTTGAATCATCAACCTCCTACCTTAAAGTAGAGAACATACCATTAATCTACTACCATACCATTGATGGTGGTTATCAGTTTACGAGCTGAAGATTTATATTGCAATAATATACGACTTAACAGAGCATTTTCTTAACTATTTAAGGTCGGCTATATAAATCTTGTTTTGCATTGCCTCTAAAGTTATTACCTCATTTAAATCATGGAGTATATTCTATCATATACAGGATATCTCCCTGTTTTTCTTCAACCACTCGACCACCTAGCAGTACCCCCAATGTTCCTCGAGGGGTGCAATTATTGGTCCTTTGCTCACGGTTAAATTATCTTAATCACTTTGCTCTTGTTTTATCTTCAATTAGTGTAACTTCAACCATCTTTCAAATGTGTTTATTTCTATTTTTATTATGCTTTTGGATTGGCATACATATCCCAAGAGTCACATTTTGATCAGGGGTGGTAAAGTTTGACACGACCCACTAACACGACTCGAACGCGACACGAGTTAAACGGGTTTGTATTGACCTTAAATGGGTTCGGATCGTAAACGGGTCGACACGATTAACCCGTTTAGTTAATCGTGTCGTGTTTGGGTTGAGGGGTTCAACCCGTTTATTCCTGTTTAATTATACCTGTCATAAGTAAATTTCTATTTAAGTTCCAAAATAACTATCTAAACTTGTATCTTATAATTTATTTTTTTGTAGATTAGAGAATATTTAGTAATTTGGTTGTATTGAAACTTATATTTTTCTATTATTTAATGTTTGACAAACACACATGTGGTTGAGGTGGTGGATAGGGTGAAACACGGTACATTTTTGTGTTGAAGGAAACATATTCTAAGGAAAAGAAAGTAAATGGAAAACATATAACAAAAGCAAACAATACCCCGTAGTATAATACCTTAGAAAACGAAAGCATCGGTTTGTGGTTGGAAGGCTAGTTGTTCCAGCAACACAAGTTAATTTGTCGAGGTTGCCATGTCTGTTAAATTACACACCTGAAAATTAAAACATGAATTTGTAAAATTGAAGAGAGGTGGTCGATAAATCTTTGGAGCCCAGGAAACATGATTCTGGACTCTGGATAAATTGACATGCTGCTCTTTGAACGGCATGGTCTGTTTGAACTTGATCTTGGACTTTCGGTCCAAATTTCCCCTTCTCTGTCACATTAACAAAGCATGAGGGGTGGTCTCAAATGATTAAAAATTCTATAATTCAATTCCTGAAACAATATCAATTTATTCTGGTCAGAGTTTGAAGTTTGGAAATCCAGTCAGTTCAGTTGCTTGGTGAAAATGAAAGAAATGTTTAATTAATATGCTCCCATGCACACTGTATTACTCAATGTATGTCCCAAGTCCCAACAATCTGCACAATGGATGAACCCATTAGAAATGGAAATATACGACTTTGCCCATTGTCAAATAATCATATGATACCATTTTATGCTTTCTTATTTGGATCCCTAACTGAGTACATGCTTCATCAGACTTAGCAGCTCTGAATATTTGTCATGTGAAGAAAAATAATTTAAAATATCTCTTTATGAAATTAATTATCTTGAGCTTTGATCCTCTTTTTGGTTCTACCCACTCTGTTTCAATGAGGTTGCAGAGCTCTTGGTGGAGGTTGTCACAGACAAGGCAATTGTCACAGGCTTGCAGGCTTTCTCATCCAATCCTCCTCCTCATCCCCTGCCTGCCATGGATACCGGGCAAAATGTTCAATGCAGTGCGAATTACTCGCGCCGCCCATTTTTGCAAAGGTGTGTGTCCAAGGAGCTCAAGGTGTTTCAAAATGAAATCCAATGCCACCAGCCATTGCTTGTCCTGCCCAATCAAGCCATGCTTCTGCAAAAAGGGGCATGTCCTTGCCTACTCCCTATCAGTCATCCTCAAGCAACCTAATCATGCTTCACTTGTATGTTCCTCTCCTCGGCTTCTGAACATTCTTCTGCTTTTAAGCAAGATGAACATACTCATGAACACAAATCAAGGAATTGGCCATCGGTTGCTCAGAGCCCCTCCACAGATTGGGATTTTGAATTCTTTAAAACTGCTGGTAAGGACCATGAGCTCTTGGTTGATCCTCCTGATGAGATGTCTATGGGCTTCTTTCAGAGAAGAATGCCTTTCAATCTCATCTCAAAAATGGCTCACAAGCTTGTGGCGAATACTGAAGGTAACCTATTTTTAGGTTCAACTCTTGTGACACTCCCAAATTTTCACATATAAGTTGATCAAGCTTATATATAAAAATTAAAAAATATCAATCACATGGTAGTAAACAAACATAGAATATAAAATGTAATAAAGAAAGAAATAAAAGCGAAAGGAAATACTAGAATCAAATAAAACTCAATCATTCATAAATCTTTAAAACTCCATTTAATACAACTCGGGAATCCCGTCAAACAAAGGACCCCTAAATATAAAATCATAAAGACCATCCATAATCTCAAGAAAGACTATAAATAATAATAATGAGTCCCTACACTAAAATAACCGAAAGGAAGGACGATCACGACAAGCTAAGGAGTGCTGAGTCCTCAACCCTGTGACTAGAACAGGCTGGGACCTGAAATCAATAAAAGGTGTATTAAACTCATAAACAAGTCCTCTCTACTACAACCCTACATAGAATCGATAAACAGATCATCTCTAATCAAAACCAACCCAATAACAAGATACTCATAAACATGTGATCAACATATATAAGCATAAAATAATAAACAACTCACTCATGCCTCGACAAATCATGCCAATAATTTAGACCTCCTATTTAGGCAACTCTACCATGCCAATGGTACTAGTGAGGCTGCATTAATAGTCAGTCAATAGTGGTTCCACAACACATTTCACATTATAATAAATAACACAGATAACATGAAATTATTTTATCTTCTTCCATTGTTAATTTCAGCGTAGCATAATGCCTTATGCAAACTAGATTAACGTTGAGCATAGGGTCAGGGAGCGTCGAACCAGAAATATGAGTTGGGAAAATCATTGAATTTAGACATGCTAATCAGAAACATGGTAAACTAATTAATATTAATCAAAATAATAATATTACATGTACTTGTGACATTAAGGAACTAATGATTGGGATTGTTTCTAAGTTAAAAATGATCGAAAACTAGGTTTTTGCAACCTAGGATCGATCTTAAAAATAAGGCTTAACCAGAAAACAACATAAGCCCACCAAAGCCCAAATAGAAATCCTAGGCTGACCGAAGTAACCCATGGTCCATTAATACTAAATTCAACCCAAAGTATATAAATAAACTAAATGGAATGATTCAAATACACCTAAACAATTTAATAAATAAATAAATTAAAACACACATAACAATTAATAAATATATTAATGAACCCAGATAAACTAAATAAAATACATTTAATAAATCCTTTAAAATCACTTAAACCTATCTCTTCTAAGCTTTGACAGCTTGATCATATGAATTGCCAAATACCTTATCCATAGTTACACGAGAATTTAAAATATCTCATGACACTACATTATCTCTCAATTCTTATTCTCACAAGTCTCTGGGTGTCTTTAAATTCTCATTCTCGTCTCAACTACTAACATAGGTATAGGTATCTTTTTATAGAAATCTACTCAAATTATAAGAACAAAAAACATTGAAAAGCTGCCGCCTTCCCTGTCACATTAACAAAGTATGATGGGTGATATCAAATAATTAAAAACTTTATAATTCAACTCCTAAAAAGTAAAAACAATATCTAAAAATAAACTTCAATATCTGACACACACAGCCACATATTACGTTACTTGCAGAAAGTTGGGCTTTGTGCATTGTAATATATTCTTACAAAAATATAGAAATATGAATAAAATTCCAAGATAGCCATTAATATACTTTAATAAAGTTTATAAAATATGAGTTTTTCCAAGGAAAAGAAATTAGATTGAAATGCAAGCATGAATTTGCAAGTTACCAAGGTTAGTTGTTGCCCCTTGCCGACATTGCGGCAGTTACAATAAAACATGAATTTGTAAATTGAAGAGATTTGGAATAGAATAACCAAACAGTTGTAAACGATGCTATATGCAATATCTACAAGAACCCACAAAAGAAAAAGAAAAAAATAAAAAGAAAGAAAGACGGATAGATGAATTTAAGTGGCCGCCTTTTGAACATAAAGGGCTACGCGAACGAAAGAAAGAAAGAAATCTGGTCCTCACATTCTCTGTCATATTAACAAACCATTAAAAATCTTATAATTCAACTCCATAAAAGTAAAAACAACAATTAAACATAAACTTTAATTTCTGCCACACACACCACTCTAGAAATATGAATAAAATTCCAAGACAGTCATTAATATAATTTAATAGTAAATTTTATGAAATATGAATAATAATTTGCTTCCTTAATATAACATGTTAATTAAAGTAGTTTATTTGTTCACTAAATATAATCATCGCTATTTAACAGTGTAGTCAGTTAATTTTATCTAAAAGATGAAAATATTACCAATTTTCTCGGCAACCTCCTCCAGTCTTGGGCATTCCAAAATATTCGCAAATTTCAAGAGAGGCGGTGCTCCTGTGTCGGCTTTTACGGAAATTAATTCAGGCATGAGTGAGAGATAAAGTCGTTCAAGTTTCTGAAAACCTCCTTCAAAATGCAAGAACTTGCCATCATATGCACGAACTAGCTCAAGTTTTAGTAAACTGGGCAGAGTTTGAAGGAATTTTAGGGGATCCTCTGTCAGTCTTGGGTATACCAAACGTATACTGATCAGATTTTGATGTTTGGAAATCCAATCAGGGGACTTCTCTAAATGCCCAATCAAGAAAAGACGTTGAAGAGAATCTGGCGGAGATGAAATCTGTTGTACATCAAGAATGCCAAATAGAGTTGCCTCTACACTTAAAGATTGAAGGTGGCTCATATTCTCAACCGCAATGCACAGATCCTTCCCGTCTTCACGTTTCAGATTCTTCATACCCAATTTTCTCAACTGCCGTAGCTTTATTAGCTCTTTAACTAGGCTTCCTCCATCATCATTTGCCTCCACTGACTTTAGCACTTGCAAGTCCTTTAAACAACCAAAACCTTCGGCCTGTATCTTTACCGCCCCAGACTCAGAACGTATCACATCAGGTGATCGATTGGACGCAAGAAGATGCCGTAATTTATGGAGCTTGTTGATCTCAATAGGTAGCACAACCACACGGCTTTGTTTCAGATCCAATGTCAATAGGTAGCGTAGCTTGCCGATGGACTTCGGAAGAACCTCCACATTTGTATTTCTCAAACTTAGATACCTCAAATGGAGTAGATTTCCGACTTCTTCAGGCAGAGAATCTAGTACCCGAGCATCTTCAAAATCCAAGTACCTTCAAAAGCTTGAAATTTGCCATTAATGTGCCCATGAAAGACTCTGGCAATTCATCTCTCATAAAAGTGATGCCGGAACGTATTCTAGACTTTGTAATCCTATTGATCATAACATTATCATTTGTTTTGTTGTGAATGGATAAGCATCTAAATTGTCCATCGTCAGAAATAGAGTCGTCGTTTGCCAAAAGTACTAAATCCTCGTATTTTGAGAGGATGATCTCACGCATTATATCATGGACTTTACATGGTCCAACTTTTTTACGAACTTTGTAGTCTAATGGATCTTGGACCACCATTTGAACCAAACTTCTATGGATGAGCTCCTTCAAGTATTCTTCAGCAATCTCTTCCAATGTTTTTCCACTCTCTTCTTTTACAAAACCTTCTGCTATCCATAATCGAACTAGCCTTCCACATCTAATGGGGTAGTCTTCTGGAAATATGCCAAAATACAAGAAACAAGCTCTGAGGTGGTATGGCAAATCAACATAACTTAAGAGAATAATTTTCTTGACATCTTCGAGGTGGGGGTTACTTTTTAACTCAGAACCCAATCTATCGTGAAGCCTTTGAAACTCCGATACCATCTTATCTTTGTTCGACAATAGACGACCTATTGTTACAATAGCAAGTGGCACTCCATTACATTTTTTGACAATTTCATGGCACACTTTCTCCAACTCTCGAGGACAATCAGATTGGAATGCGCTTTTGCAGAAGAGTTGCCACGCTTTGTCGTCTGGCAAGCGTTTGAGTTTATAAATCATATCAAAACTAGATTCTTTGGTAGAAGTAGCCACGTCATTGTTTCTTGCAGTGATGTTTACCCGACTTCCTTTTCCTTTCTTATTATTATTGGGTAATACTGATCTTATGAAATAACAGAATTGTATTTTCCTCACATCATCGAAAACAATCACGCACCTTTTGTCTTGTAAATATTCTCTTAGCTTCTCGATGAGTGATGACTCGTCCGTGGTTTCCAAATCACTGGGAGGAGACTCTTCATTTGTCTTGTAGAACTTCGTCATTAGAGTCATCAATAGCTCCTTTCTGTTGGGTGGTGATTGAGAAACAGTGATCCAAGCATGGCAGGCGAACTCCTTGGCTGCAATTTGGTCATCATACACTTTCTTCACAAGAGTGGTCTTTCCAAGTCCACCCTCGCCGACCACTGAAATTGCCCTCCTTTTTGATGATACGTCCTCTTCCATCCAGCTTTTCAGTTGAGCTCGTTGAGATTCGATGCCCACCACTTCGTCATCGTCAAGGAAAGGAAAAGACACTCGAGGATCATGCCATGTCTTGCTGCTTGATCCTTCCTCTTTGACTTGTAAATTGTATCTATCGCGTAGTTGGTGGATCTCACGAATAGTTGCTTTGATCTCTTGAATCTCAGAGGCTATCTTGTGTCTTGGTCTACATTTGATGATCGATCGAGCAGCTTTGTAAAGGCAACCGATGAACTCACGACGCTGGTCGGAGCGTTGTGTCAGCACTTGAAGTATGTATTCATCAACCACATCTTCTATCCGGTAAGAAACTTTCCTTACTTGTTTCACCAAAGCTTTTACACCATCATTGCTCTCTCCTCTTTCCAGCCTTTCATCTGCATCCTTCAGATAAGGCTTCATGAGCTCTAATTCAACTTTGATGCTTTCAAATTCTTTGTGAACACCTTTCAAAAGATTCACCTCTTCTTTAAGTAAAGGGACCAAATTGTCGATCACTAGGTTCAAAACAATCTCCGCCATTTCTCTTCTCTTCTCAATGCTTCAAACTCTCTCTTTTGTTTTAGCCTGACTGAATTAATTTCAGTATGTGTTCACGGTGGTTTTTAATTTTTCAGCAATTTGAGGGTATTTTTCTTTGGCTATTGTGTGTTAGCTTATTCCCGATTTTGGGCTTTTTTTTTTGGTAAAAGAACGGTAATGTACGAGATACAATTAGAACATTCACTCTCCAAGTTATTCCAATACAAAGCCAGAAATTTGAAGATGCTTTTCTGTCGCAACTGTTAAGCTTGTTCTCGATTTTGGACCTTCTTTGGTAAGGGAAGAGTAATGCACAAGATATAAATGGAACATTCATTCTCCAAGTTATTCTAAACCAAAGCCAGCAATTTGGGGGTGCTTTTCTTTGGCTATTGTGTGTTAGCTTATTCCCCATTTTTGGCCATTTTTTTGTAAGAAAAGGGTAATGTATGAGATACGATTCGAATATTTACTCTCCAAGTTATACTAATACAAAGCCAAAATTTTGAAGATGCTTTTCTGTCACAACTGTGTAAGCTTGTTCTCGATTTTGGACCATTCTTTGATAAGAGAACAGTAGTGCACGAGATATAAATGGAACATTCATTCTCCAAGTTATTCTAAAAAAAACCTACTTGTTCCCTCTTTTGGGTCTTTCTTGGTAAGAGAATAGTAATGAACGAGATGCAAATGGACCATTCACTCTTCAAGTTATTGTAAAGCAAAGCCATCTATTTGAAGCAAGAAGATGCTGCTTTTCTTCCATGAGTGTGTTGACACATGCATGTGTGCTTGATCCTAATTTTGGGTTAAGATTTATTATCTTTATAAAACACTAACATTAGATAATAAATAAATAAAAATAAGTCCAATCAATGATATCACACGTTTCAGACTTATATTTTGTTAATTATAGAAATGAAATGATATCCTCTCAGCCCAATTTTAGCTTAGCTTCCAACCGTTCAATCTGCATCCTAGAAATGAAATTCCAATTTTTTTTTTTTTTAATTTTTTGAACAGTTAAGCAAATGTATAAATATGAACATAAAGAATACACTGGCCCAAGGGCCAAAGATACAGGCTTTAGAAAAGGAGGCCATGGCAACCAAGGCTGAAAGGCTGCCCAAACACAAAAGAGAGAACCTTAATCACTAAAAATGGAGAAGAGCCCAATCACAGGCCCATCAGATAATTAAAAAATCTAACATTTATATAATTGGATTCCTCCGATGGGCTTTTCAGTTGTGTAAGAGCTCAGCCCCATCAATTCCTTCCAACTAGAAGGATGAGTGTAAAGAAATTATATGTGATGATGTAAAAAACACTAAACTTGAGTTTTCAATAAAATAATTACTAATTTGCTTAAAATTTTATTGACCTTGGTATAATATGCTTAGGAGATAACAATTTAAAATAATAATAAAAATAAAAATTTATTGACCTTGTTTGCTAGGAAGAATATGAATCAATTGATTAGGCGTACCTTGTATTATACATAAATTGTCACAAAACGAAGTACAAGGGAACTTCATGTTTTGATTTGACTATTTTTTAAAAGCCAAGAAATATAAATGCAAATGGAATTAGAAGGATGATTATCACGATCACACTAATAAAAATCAACTCTTGTAGTAAAAGTAATAAGTGATTTACCAAACCAATTGTTAGCCAAACTACTAAAAGTTTAGATATGATTACATAGCTCTCCAAGCAAGAAAGTAAAATTGAGTTCCCAGAGTTTAGATATGATTACATAGCTCTCCAAGCAAGAAAGTAAAATTGAGTTCCCAGAGTTCTCCAGATAATTTAGGTTTATATATCAATAAAAGAAATTAAAAAATGGAGAACAAGAAATTCAATTTGAATCCCTAAAATATGAGGAGAGAAATATGTGAAAAAGGATTTTACTGATTAAATTAGTTTAAAAAAAAAAAAATTAGTGAATTAACATAATGCTTCATAATCACACAAATGCAATGATGCACCATCACTACTAATTAATACACCCAAGGAAAACATACTTCATTGAAAGGTATAACACTAAGTCCAAATCAACAAAATTGATGTTATGGTTAGGATTGGAAAATTCCAATCACAATTTTTCGATGATATTGTAATTGGACTCTATTTATTATAATCGCACAAAAAAGTCAATCAAACATTATAGCATTGGAGGAGAACTCTAAAGGCTTGATGTGACAAGGGTCATTTATCCCATATCAGATTCAGATAGAAAAGTGATTGGTTATGTAGCACTAGCCAATAGTTTGAGTTTTTGGATAAATAGACAAGCACCTACCCATTATAGTTGGTGTCAGAGTTAGACTTAGTCCTTGGCCCGATACCAGGCCAAGCTTCTGGCTCAAAAGGCGTCCGGGTAACTCACCCGGGTAAACAGAGTGGTCCGAGCCACAACGAGTTACGAATATGGATTGAGGAGAATGTAACAAGAGTCATTTGTCCGGCATCTAATTCGATTAAAAAAATAATTAGATAAACGAATATGCATTCACCCATTACACATGACCATTTATTACTCTGATACTAAATCAAAGTTAGGTTAAGTATGATTGAAGCAACTAAAAGAATTGGCAGCCCCATAGGTCGGTGTTGGTGCCCCATTTGATCTAAGTCCCAATCCATGGGACCATATACAACTAAATAATTTTACAAATCGTTTTCATCACGATCCCAGATCCACATATAATGCTATTTATTTCCCAAAATTGCATTCATTATCAAACCTCAATATCTCACTCTTTCAGTCAGACCAGTGGTTCAACGAGCCCTTCTAAACTCAAATCTCTAATTTTTATTTCTCATCTTCACATTTGTTTATTCGGATTTATAAAAGTTCCTGAATCATAAATAAAATTCAATGCCCAACATTATGATGCTTGGGCATTATGATGCTTCTTAGTAAAATTTATATATATATATATATAATTTGTATGCCTCGAAAAAAATGTGATATATTAGGGTAACGTGCAAGACAATGAAAGAACGTACGCACAAATTTATTTTTAATTTTTCCCAGCAAATTGTAGTAAGCTGATTAAACCTAAAATAAAGTATTGAATCCTTAACTCCACCCTTTCCTTAAGATACCGTATATATTTTAAATATTTTTTCTTGGAGATGTTAATTACGTTGAACCACACTTGATGTAGTGTAATTTGGGGAGTTTAAATTTTTTATAGTTTCAATCAATGTAAAATGAATCATTTTTGTTTTTATTTATTTATTTATTTTTATAGTATTATAATTAAAATTGTCAAGAGAAATGCTATTGTTATTTGGGGATTTGATGATTATGATCATTTGAGTTATAATTATATTGTCGAGAAGGAATTTGGATTAGAAGGTGTACAATAAAGATGATCTCATTTCATGTGAGATGTGAATTTCATGTATATAGTGAATTCTACCTCTTTTAAGATGATTTACACTCTTTATAATAAAAATTTATTGTCTTTTATTGTGTGATCATGAAATGATTAATTTCAAATCAATTGCCACTCTTGCTACGCAAATAAATATATTTTTTTACATCATTGATTAATTATCCTAAACGACTTAAATATTTCACTAAATTACAACACCACAAACGAACAAAATTCTAAACAAAACAACACATTTATTTGTGTATGGAATTGTAGACCATGTAAAAATGTCTGTAGAATCCAGCACCTATGTGCTGAAAAGTCAAGACACAGTTTAATTATATGCATATTATTATTGTTTAAAAGGATGAACCTAGTTACCCAACAACTTACATTCAGCAACTGACCGTTTGACACAGAGAGAGACCAACTACATATAGCAATTGACACACACACACCCACACACACACACACACACACACACACACGCAGAGAGCTAGAGAACCATGGGTGGCGAAGATGAAGAAGATCAGGAGGGCCCATTACTGAGAAGAATCCAGTCATCTGATGATTCTCAAGAACCTCTCAAAAGAACTGGTTAGCTCCTCTTTAAAGCTGTTCGATCAACACCCAATTCTTCTACTTATATATATATATATATATATATATATATATATATATATATATGGTTCTTATTTAATTTCTTGTTTCTCGATCCATTAATTAGCTTAAAAAGAACATTTCTAATTACACTATTTTATTATCATCCGCAAAAAATATTTAGTATAGAAATATAATATATAGACTATTTATATATTCACTCCAAATGTTATGTTGTGGCATATCCATGGTGGGATTGTTCTGCTTCAGAAATCCAACAAATTTGATTCGAATGTGAGAACGGTTGGTTGGCTGGTGAGCACCAACCCCTCACATTCAAGTTCGGATTTTTCGGTCTGCAAACCATTTTATTTTCCGAGGTAACATTATTTTATGATTTTGACTACAGTTAATTTACTATGATTAACGTGATTGATTACATTGTTATTTTTATTTACAAGAGATTTGCAATAGGTTGAGGTACTGATAAAAGAATACACATTTAATTTTTGATATTATTTGTACGCTCAAATTTAACTTGCACTTGTTGTTTCGAATTTGAGAAAAGGGTGTTCCGTTCGGGCGCGAATCAGCTGCAGTGCAATTCCCATGCAATTTTCTGCAGTGAGCAGTAAGTGACCTTGGTTTGGCCACGTTTTACTCCACTTAATAAATCCGAACATTGTGTTTGGCAATTATACAACTATTTATAAGTAATACTTCACCACAATTTTTAAGTAACGTCACATAAATCTAAAAATAATATCACATAGTCTAAGTAATATTACCACCATTTATAAGTATCTTTCACCCTCAAAACGTGGTGATGTTACTTTTTAAACTATGTAATATTACTTTTAGACTTATGTGATGTTACTTATAAATGGTGGTGATGTTACTTTTTAGACTATTTTTACATTTCACCACTATTTATAAGTAACATCACAGAGTCTAAAAAGTAACATCACCATTTGTAAAAGGAAATATCATCACTTTTAATTTCAAATAATAACATAAATGATATGTTGAATTGAGTTATGTTTATATGTGACATTACTTTTTAGACTATGTGATGTTACTTATAAATGGTGGTGAAATGTTACTTTTAAATAGTGGTGTAATTGGCCAAACACGGCCTTAGTGTCCGTTAACTGAAAAATGATGTGGCGAAATATGGACCACTTAAAAGTTACAACAGGAAACTGCATGGGAGCCTCACTGCAGGTGATTCGCGCCCGTTCCATTCATATCCATTTTTTCAACATCCATATATTTGGTTCAATTTCGGAGATGTGTTTTCTTTATTTTCTTTTTCTTTTTGATTATCGAAAATCAAAAAAATTGTGCAAAAAATTTTAATTTTTTTTTTTCTTTTATAACTTAGTTACTTGGCCAAAATTTGTACTCTATAAATTTGAAGGGCTCGTCAAAAGTCGATTGTTTAACATTTTTTAATATTTTAATGCGTTTTAATTGGTTGAATTGTAATTTCATGGATATATATATATATATATATATATATATATATAAGGAACATATGGACTGCAATGGTGCATATAATAACTGGAGTGATAAGAGCAGGTTGTTGACCCGCCCATTTTCAACCCAATTCAAACTCGACCCAACTCGTCCATTTACCACCCCTTAGAGCAGGTATGCTTTCTCTTGCATGGAGCATGGCTCAACTAGGGTGGATCGCAGGTCCAGTGGCTATCATAGTCTTCGCATTAACCACCATTGTTTCCACAAACCTCCTGTGTGATGGCTACAGATCTCCTGATCCAGACATTGGGCCCACCAGAAACAGGTCCTACATGGAAGCTGTCAAGTTTTATTTAGGTGAGAGAATTTTGTTTCTTCACTCCATAATCCTCCATATAGAGAGAGTCTAATAATCAGAGAGTCCCTTTCAACTAATTTTCGCCGTTCAAATTTTCCAACATAGCGGTCCATTTTACACCAGTAATTGGGCCTAGAATGTGGGCCCATTTGAGCTATAGCCAAACCGGGTCTTCCACAAATTGGAATCCTGGTTACAACGTGGGTTTGGTGTTGCGCGCAAGTCTCTCTTTGTTGCCATTTAAAACCAGTAAAGTCATCCATTGAAATTTTATTTTTGAACTACTCTCACAGTGAAATTGAAATTGTGGATGCACAATAATAATAACAATAATAAAGGTTAAGTGCATTAAACCTCCCTAAATTATTCACCCTATTGCAAGAAATTCTCTTAAACTATAAAAGTTGCAAAAAACACCTTAAACTATCATTTTTGTTGCAGATTGCTCCATTCGGTACAATATTGCGGTAAAAAATATCACGTGTTGTCACATGAAATAAATTTTGAATTTTTATGACAATAGTGCCCTTTAAAATATGAAAGGACAATAAGGCCCTTCTTTGTTACCGTTACACAACGCAAACACGCCTTATGCCCAACTGTCCCTATTCATCTTCTTCAAGGTGCACACAGTGCTCCAACTTCAAAAACCAAACATATAAGGCTGGTTCAGCAAAGAAACTTGCATGCCACACATGGAGAATTCTATGATGACATGTTATATATATATATATATATATATTTTTTTTTTCTACTCTGTTGTGAATGTTACATTGCATCTATAACACATTGAATTCTCCATATCGAATTCTAAAAAGTCAAAAAATAACGCGAGAAAGAGATTTGTTTGATATATAATTTATATATATATATATATACACATACATATGTGCATATATGGGATTTAGCGAAGTTTCATTTATTGATTTTTTATTAGCAAGTTTCCATTAAAAGTTTCGCATGAAACAAACATGGTAAATCAAAAAGATCCACACGTGCGTGTGTGCGTGCGCGCGCGTACACACAAAAAAAATTCCAATTCTTTAGAGCAAGTGGTGTGTGTGTGTACAAAATATTCTCTCTTGTATATATATACACACAAAAAAAATTCCAATTCTTTAGAGCAAGTGGTGTGGGCTTACAAGGTTATCTATCTACTTTTTAAAAAGTAGAGTGTCACATAAGCTAAAAATTGATGATGTGGTACTCTATTTTTTTTTTATCCATATGTTTCATGGTATGGAACTCAATTATCTCATTCTCTATTATTATTTTATTAATTTAATAGCTAAAAAGTGATGATGTGCCGTTGCAAGAGCCATTGATCTGTGTTGTACTTTAAGACAAAAGCTACACAATCAATTACGCAAACAAAAATTTTTTTAGCGAATTGTCCAATGCCCACTCTATCTGCAGATAACTCCATATAGAGTAATTGTAGGGCCACCAAAAAAGGCCCTCTACTTGCTACTGCGTACCAACCCCCTCTCTCTCTACACTGACACAAAGTCACTCTAAAATAGCTTGCACCCCGAATGCTCTTCGAACCCTACTATTAGAAAATTCCAAAATTGCTTCCCCAAATCAAACTCACTACTCTCAGAAGAAGATGATCATGGGACTGAAAAGGCTAATTCGTACCAAGAGAGTGGATTTGAAAAGATTGATTGAGAGTGTGGATTTGAAAAGGTTCCAAGTGGATGATAAGAGGTCGTGTACATAACAACAAATAACACCCGCATGTCCTCCTTTTGCTCATCAGCCTTATCAATGACATGAAAGATTATGATGATGATCTCAAAGGTGTTGCCCCTGTGATGTTTTTCTTTTATTTCGTCTGTTATGCCATGGATGCCTGTAGTCTCTTCTCTTTGTCTCCCTTAAAACTTTCCTTTTTGTGTGTAATTGTGCTTCTTGTGGTTTGGGTTGTGTTTGTGAACGGTGTAGAAGTACAATAGATTTTTTTTCTCTCTTTTTAACCAAAGGCCAAGACGAATTAAGGGTGTAAGTTTAAATGACGTCCTATTTTAAAAGGGTACGCTGGTCTTTTCCATTTTCCGACGTCTAAAGCTATTGTGATCGGGCTAAATGCGAAGAAAACATAGTTTAAAGGGATTGTTTTAGTTTAGGTGGGTTTCTTGCAATTTGATTACAGTTTAGGAGGGTTTAATGCATTTAACCCTAATAATAATAATAATAAATCAAAATTTTATTAACTACTCTAATTTTTTTGATAATTCTATATGCATATATAGTAAATAATTATGTGCATAATGATCCTCTCAAAAAAAAAAAAAAAAAAAAAAAAAAAAAAAAAACGCAATAATAAAAATTATAATAACAGTTTAGGGAGTGTTGTGATTATTATTGCAAAAAAGATTATATATATATAGAGAGAGAGAGTTATTATGTGAGTGTTAAAGTTAATGAATTCTTTTGAGAGTGTCGAATTGGTGTTTTGGAATATGTGAAAATTTAGTTTAAAATTTTAATTTCTCCTAATTTGGGGGTAATGTGGCCACAATTCATTGTTATATGATGTTGTAATTCACTAAAAGGTGAAAATGGGTGTTAATATATATTTCAGGAGAGAAGAACCAAAAAATGCAATATTTGTGAATGAGAGCTTATATGGTTGTGGAATCGCATATACCATCACATCTGCTGCCAGTATGAAGTACGCTAGCTGGTGACCAACATGTTTAACATCATACTTATAGTTTGTTTTAAATGTTTAAAGAATTTTTGGGTAATGTGAAATTGTAATCCTTATAAGTAATTGGGAGTTAGCACTTTATATATATATATATATATATATATATCCACATACAATTATTAGAGTTTTAGTTTATACTTTGACAAAATGAGATTGATAGTGATGTACTATTGTGAAGTAGTGTTGGAGCTAGAAATATTTATTTAGGAGGGCCAAACTAGTAATATGAAATTAAGAAATTTTTTTTTTTTAAATTAAGATTTAAAAAATTAAAAATTTAATATAATTTTTTTAATAATAAAATTCTTAACATATAGTTTTAAGAGAGTGTCTATCATGAGGATACTCGAGCTTGCATTTTTATAACAATTAGACTAATAATTGACCTCATAACCTCACCATCCAATGGTTGGTTATAAGGGAGCCAAAGGAGGTCAGCTTAAGGAGACTCATTATCATCTTTTTTTATTCTTAGTATAACCTAAAAAAGAATAATACACTTAAATAAACATAGACTCAAAATTGATATGACAAGAAAGGAAAAAATCGAGAGAACAAATTGTCTAGTGTCCAGCATTCTTTATTTTTATTTTTATTTTTTATTTTTACTTTTGAATTCATACAGATAACAAATAATGTATGTGTGTGTGTGTGTATGGAGTTTGATATATTATAACAAGAACTACGACAATAATGGATACTCTGTTTTTTTCACTAGATTTGAATTTTAAAAGCAAGATGCAGCATGTATTAATGATGCAGAGCAATTCAGAAATCAAATTGTTACCATAGAGAAGGCCATGATGCAGCATGTGAATATGGGGAAACTTTATATATGCTGATATTTGGAGTCACTCAGATTGTGGTGTCCCAGATACAAGATTTCCATAACATGGCATGGCTCTCCATTGTTGCTGCTACCATGTCCTTCACCTACTCTATCATTGGATTTGCCCTCAGCTTTGCAAAAGTCATCGGTATATATGCCTTCAATTTATTTATTTATTTATTTTTTAATTAAATCCGAAAGTTCAAACAAACGCACATACATTCGCAATATTACTCCTAATAGGGCTCGAACGCTCAACCTCCCCTGTAGGGAACAGAGACCATACCATCTGAACTAATGTCAATTAATACGTTTTTCCAATTTCAGAAAATGGGGAGATTAAAGGGAGCATTGGAGGAGTCCCAACTGACAGTATAATTGACAAGTTATGGTTGGCCTTTCAAGCTCGTGTAGATATTGCTTTTGCCTATCCATATACAATTATCCTTCTAGAGATACAGGTATGGATTCATTTCCTCTTTTCATTAACAGTACATCTTTCAAAACAATATATATATATATATATATCTCAAACTCATTTTCAAAATTGAATTATGATTCTTGAACATGAAGGATACGTTGAAGTCATCTCCACCAGTAATCCAGACCATGAAGAAGGCCTCAGTGTCTGCAATCTTTGTTACCACTTCCTTCTACCTCCTCTGTGGAGGCTTTGGTTATGCAGCCTTTAGGAATGATACAACCGGGAACCTCTTGACGGGATTCAGATTCTATGAGCCCTACTGGCTCGTGGACTTCGCCAACGCTTGCATTGTTCTACATCTAGTTGGAGGATATCAGGAAACTTCTTATTTCACATCAATTAAGCTGCTCTAGTACCTAATTTAATTTGCACAACTTAACCTCTTAACAACGCTTTAGCACCATAAAGCTAGTATCAGTTGATAGACTTCAACTTGTTAACGCTTTATCATTAGAGATGCTAAAAAATGAATATATATGGGTTTATATAGGAGACGACACGTGTGGAGAGTAAGTAAACTAACCATATATACATGGTAAACCTAAACCTTATATGATAAACATATACATACTAGTAATAGTTGTTAGACTTGAACTTGTTATTTCACGCTAGTCAATTCGAGCTTTTACCATTAGAGATGCTAATTATTGTTGTTTTTTTTTTTTTTTTTTTCTAATCACGAGCATTTCTTGGTTAGGTATATAGTCAGCCACTGTTTGCATTGATAGAAAAATGGTTTGCTGAGAAGTTCCCGGACAGCGGATTCGTAAACAATTTATGAGCATTCAAGCTCCAATTGTTGCCGGCTCTTCAACTAAATCCCATGAGGCTATGTTTCCGAGCATACGTTGTGTCAACTGTGAGATATATTTTTGAAAATTAGTATATTTCTGTAACAGAACAATCCTAGTTGAGTTTTATTTTTAGTTACCATATCAGGCTTGATATCGACTGTGGAATTCAGAGGTTTAATAGAAGAGGAAAGTATTGTTGATCATCGAAAAGGAAAGAACACACATTATGACTTCATTTCCTACTTAGGACATAAATATCTACAAGGTATATGTTCAGAGTTTCCAAAAATACAGAAAATCCAAGTTCAGTTGGATTCTGTCAAGTGGGAACCAGTACCTAAATTGGGAACCAGTTCCAGAAGTTAAGTTTCGAGAACAAACTTTGTCTTTTGGGAACCGGTACCAAGATTGGGAACCGATTCCACAAGTCCTAATTGCAGTAGGTTTTTCAGTTACCTTATTATGCTGAATACCTTTTTGATCCAACTTTCCTTCTATGTCCTATGCATGAATTTTCCTTTATTTTCTGAATGAATAAGACTTTGCAAACCTCTATATAAACCATGTCATATACATTGGTTTATTCACGGCTTTAGTTATACAGATTCATTATTTTTAAAAGCCTTAGGAAGATTATTTTTGCAGAAAATCAGAGTTTATTTTTTTGTCATCTTTCTAGAACACATACACATAAACACATAGTGAGTTTAGAGTTGTGGTGTTCAAATCCTGATTGTGATCATACAGTTACATCTACAACGATCAGACGAAAGCAGATCTTCTTCTACATCATTCAGACGAGTGAAAAACAGAAGTAAACGCAATCACACTTTGAAAAGGTTGGAGCATTCGAGGAGTGTTATCTGATCTACTTGCTACTCAACTAAAAATATCAAGCATAAGCCTGAGGTCAAGTTGCTGTTGGACGGAAAGTCGCAAAGCCAAAGGATTGTCAGCAATTGGTGTTTCGTAGAACGATAAGGTGTGACCCAGAGTCAAAATTCGGTATACTTTGTTTCAAACATAGTGGATTGGTTTACTTTGGACTACACAGTCCACGAGATTTTTCCCATAACAGTTGACGTATTTTATCAACTTGGGTTTCCTCGCTAAAATCCTGGTGTCATGGGCTACCCCCGAATCTCCGGATGCGAGTTGGCCAGGCCCATGCCCGATTACCCAAGGATATCATACCAATTAGCAATAATCAAACACAGAATAAAATATAATTAACAAGAATGAATAGAAACGTTGAAAAGAACTAAAATGATAAACCATTAACTTTCATTGATAATAAAAAAAAACTTCTGATACAAATCGTTCTCCATATTACAACTCGGGAATCCATCTAGTGGACCCCTAAAATATCCCATTGAACTCAAAAAAAACATAAAACAAAATCCTACGTCGTCGGTGGAGTGAATGATTGTATCTGTTCAACACGATTAAGGTCAAAGCCTGGAACTAACAAACACCTGTAAAAATAAGAGTGGGTCAGGCCCACTTACAAATTCTATTCTAACTGCAATCCATACAGTGACCCGATACACAGATACACCCTACATACCTCAACAATAACTATTTAGTCCATACATAAATAAATATCCACACTAAGGGACATTCACTGAACTATATAGGGGGTCTCAACCTGAATAGAAGGCAACATGCAAAAACGCACCCAAAGGTGGGCATGAATACCTTGACCTAACAGGGTACACCTCAACCTATCATAGCTAGCTACACATCCACTGCATATACGCGCCATAACCAATGGCTCTGAGACTCAAGCTCATATCGTGGTACCATAATCATATATTTAAAATCCGTTCTTATTGATAAGCGCCGAATACTGTATATTCAAGCGCCCTAAATTACATTAACAAAGTCCATTAATTGATTATTTTATGTAGATTATCTCCATTTGCATGTTTTTGTATATTTTCAGGTTAAATTGCAAAAAGGAAGCAAAAATGATGCCTTGTGGAATTTTGAACAAAAAGGGTGCCAATTCTGAAATTCTGGCAGCAGTAGAACCTGACTTTTGTCACCATTTTCGACCTAGAAAACTCAAGAACTGGACTTCCATCATAACATTAAAGATTTAGAGATCTGAATCAGCTTTCCAAATCTTCAAGCGGTTTGTCATTCGGAGTTTGGAGCAGAGAGTTATGATCTTCTTAACAGAGGTGCGCAGAACTGCCTGGCAGCACTGAAGTACTGCCTTTCTCCCCATTTTCGACCAACCACACTTGAGAATTGGGTCTTTATCAAAACATGAAGTTTTTAAAGTTCTGAATCAGCTCTCCAAATCTTCAAACAGATCATCATTCGGAGTTCGGAGCACAAATTTATGGTTATTATTCCACAGTGGGTCAGAGATGGGCAAGAATTGCATGTTGCTCATTACACTAATTTAGAGTGCTCGAGACCACCCTTCGAGTGCTAGAAATTCTGGCAGATTGCACTCGGAAATGGCTCAATTTCAGCCACTTGCACATTGGTTTCCTCAATGCCATCTTCCTTCTTTATGAAGTGGTTGGAGGTGTTCCTTGGAGGAGAGAAAGCCTTGACTTGAGCTTGATAAGAGAGAGGGAGGACCACACAAATGCATGATCCTTCATTTCTTACAAGATTAGAGGAGAGAGAGGAGAGCAAGGAAGAGAGTGTTCTTGAGTGCTACAGTAGAGCTCGAAAATGAAGTTGTATTCTTCTTCTTCTTCTTCCATTTTTGTATCAATGGAGAGCTAAACCTCCATCTAGGGAGGTGATGAAGCCTCCTCTTTTGATCATGTTCTAGATTAGGCTATACTTTTGGGGACTATAATGTATACTGTATGGTAGTTTCATAGTCTAAGAGCATATTCCTTCTTGTAATGAATTTTAATGTGTAAATGGTTGATGTAAGTTCATTGTCATATCTTTGATGATTCTTGGATCAATCTTATTGCTTTTATTTTCATAGTGACAATGAAAATATAGACTATGAATGTTTTTCAAGGCATGTTGATTTTAAAACTTGATATTCCATTGCTTAGGTACCTCATTTGATGGTTTATACTTGATTCCTACCTTCATGTGCTTCACCATTTGATTGAAAGCTTGATGGTCTTTTGCTTGAGATAGTGTATTTAATTCTACACCTTAGTTTAAGTAGTTCAACTATGGTAGCTTTTGATGGATCATTCTTGTTTTGATTAAGTGAACTTCTTGATGATTATTAAGCAACGGAGTTGCTTCATATTTCTTGACCATTGCAAATATGCTATTTATCCCCAAATTTAGACCTAATCTAGCATGTACTTAGGGTGTAGTGTGGATTCATCTCCCTAATCTTTTCTACTTGTATCTCACTTCTTCAATTTCATTGCAATCTATTGTTTTATGCATTTTAATTTCTTAGTTTAGTGACAAACACACAAACCCTTTATAAACTCCTCATCACTCTAAAATGACTTTAGATACTTAGGTTGCCTTAAGACTAGCGCAGTCCCAGTGGTTCGACTCACCCATCCAATAGCCCTATTTTACAATGATTCGTGCTATTGCGAAGAGGGTTGATTTATAATTGATTTCAACCGTCGATTAATTTTTGGCGCCGTTGCCGGGGATTTGCAAACGGTTTAGCAACCAAAGTTTAGGGTTAAATTTTAGTTTGATTGTGAATATTGTGTCTTGTGAATATTCCTTGTGTGTTTTGACCATCTCAATGTTTTTAAGTGTTGTAAGATTCTAGGGACTCGAATCTCGCCGTGGGAATGCTAGCAAAGCGTAAGTCTAGAGGACCCCAGGTAAGTTTCTTGACCTTTTAGTTTCACATTGTAAGATATCGTGCATGTGTTAAGCTTAGAAGTAGTTAATTTATTTGCAAACCCTTGTTGAGGCTATATTATTGTTTTAATTCTGTGTATAAGCATCGGTCCTTGTCGTGGCCATTTATTTTCTGTCTTGATAATTGAGGAGAAAGGGAACATCGTATGTGGAGTTGTGGATAATGAATTGCTTTGTTGATTATATTCTGTGCTGTTGATGTTCGGTCATAGGTCACTCTCTCTACCCACACTTGACTCGCCTATTGATATAAATTCACTTGAAAGAACTCTTAGAAGAAACTTTAGGGAATCTACTCTTACAAGGGATCTTGAAACTGAATTTAATACAATGGGAGATAACGTAGGAAATCCGGGGAATGAAAGGGCTGAAATTCCTAATCTAGAACCAATGACTCTTAGAGATCATTTCATCCCTACCACCTATGCTTCTCCTTCTTGCATATTAATGCCAAACATCGATGCAGCTCAATATGAGATCAAATCAAGCACCATCCAAATGCTTCCATCATTTCATGGCTTTGATAATGAAGATCCATATAAGCATCTTGATGAGTTCTTTGAAATCTGTTCGACCATCCGGTTGAGAGGTTTTCCGGACAATGCACTCCATCTCCATCTTTTCCCATTCTCCTTATGGATAGGGCAAAATACTGGTTGAACTCCCTCGCTCCCAATTCCATTACTTCTTGGGCTCAATTGCAACAAGAATTCCTTAAGAAGTATTATCCGGTGAGTAAAACCAACCAAATGAGGCGTTCCATTCTAAGCTTTTCTCAAATTGATGGAGAACAACTCCATGAGACTTGGGAAAGGCTACAAGATCTTCTTCGGAAATGTCCTCATCATTTGATCCCAAAATGACAATTAGTGCAAGCTTTCTATGCCGGCTTGACCGAAACCCATAGATTCATGGTTGATTCTTCTTGTGGTGGGATGTTCATGTCCAAGAATGCGGATGAGGCTTGGACCCAACTTGAGAATTTAAGCGAAAATTCACTTCAACATAATTCTCGTAGGGCTCCGACCTCAACCATTGCAAAGAACACCAACCCTTGTCAACCAAAATCAATAAGGGAGGAATCATCTCAAGTGGATGCCATCGCTCATAAATTCTACCAATTGATGGCACCACATCTTCCTCCTTCATTGTCTCAAAATTCGGCAAGTTCAGTTTGTGCTTCATGTACTAGTCCATTCCATCTCTCGGAAGATTGCCCCACACCGGAGCAATTTCCCAATCCCAACCAAGAGCAAGCTAATGCCATGTTCTCAAGGTCTTGGCATAACTCGTATTCCAATACATATAATCCGGGTTGGAGGGACCATCCGAATTTTTCGTGGAGGCAACAAGCCCCACAAAATTCCCAATTTCAAAATCAAGGGCCTCAAAATCAGCCCTC